CCCCACCCTGCTGTTCGTACAGAGACGCTTTCCTTGCCACATCTGCCCTCGAGTGTCTGAGAGATCTGGCTCCTCCGGGCTGGGCTCTGCTGTTGCTGCTAGCACAGGTTACAGGCACCCCACGGCCTGCCAGGAAATCGTATCTGCGTGTTCGCAGCTGCCTGGTTTCAGGGAGGAGAGGAGGAAAAGGGTAAATCTGAAACCTAGATGGATTTAAGAAAGTCGGTGCTTTTTGCCAGTTTCTCTGAGTTTGGAAGTTTGGGCTTTTTTGCTTTTTTTTTCTGCACTGTGTGAAGAAACGGCAGCGTGAACCCCACAGACGTGGAGAACAGCTGGGCAGTTATTTGGGTGGGTTCGATATTGAGGTGTCTGACCCGAAGGATTTGATCCGCACCCGAAATCTGCTCTGGCCCCAGCTCCAGATCGTCACCTGCGTGGAGACTGTGCCTCACTCTGGCTCACGTGGTGACACAAACTCCGCTGTTCCTTGCAGCAGTAGGTGGTAACTTCACGACTGTCAGTAAGCTGTTGTTCACGCAGACCCTTGTGCAGCCTCAGCGGTGGGTCCGTCTGTAGCTTTGCAGAGCTCTTGGAAGAGGATAGGATTTGGTCTGTAGCTACTCTCTGCTGGTGTAGCGCTCTGCAAGCGCGGTGCAATCGGAGCAGAGTTTCTGTTTGTGATTAAAGGCAGGAAATCCCATTTACACCTCTGGCAGGAATAGGTTTTCCACTGGGAAGGAAAATGCACTTGGGAAGATAGAAATACCGGAACTAAACTCCTGGCTGTGGAAAAAGCATTGTGTGTGCTCGTATCTCTGCTGCGCGTTAGATGTTGAGGCTTGTGCAGATGCCTTTTAAATGGATGCCTGCAAATAAAAGTAAGCCTTTGCATTTGTAATATCTTCCATCTGAGGATCTGCAAGTGCTTTACAGGGATCCAGCTACATCTCCCAGCCCCCACTGGGAGGCCGTCGCTGTTGTCCCCATTTTCCATCATGCGAGTAACGTCACCCACATCGCCGGGTTGAATCTCAGGAGTCTGGACTGACCTTGGAGAAATGTACGGGATTTTGAATGCCGTTTGCTGGAGGGTGGCTGGGTGTGTGGGGAGCATTTATGCCTCCGGATGTGTTTCTGCCTGTAGCTCGTGCAGGTTTCCCTTGACCACGTCTTCCCAGACATCTGTCAGGACACTAATCAGACTCTGTTTAAACCGTGTCAAGGCTCCGAGGAAGTGCCCTGCAACAAGCCAGTTCCCGTGAGTCTTTCCGAGGATCCGTGCTGCCCGCTCCATCTCCGGTTGCCTCCACAGATGTACGTACCCGAGCAGGTCCTGGCTGTCCCCGAGGAGCTGGAAGCTGCCCCCACGGACCTGTATTTGAGCGCTGCTGAGCTCCAGCCCACGGAGAGCTTGCCCCTGGAGTTCAGCGACGTAAGTTCTGCAGTGTGCTTTAGGCCGTGCTGTGCAAGGAAGGTGCCCTGCAGAAACGCTGCCCCGAATGGTTCTGGTTTCTTTATGTGCCGTGAAGTCACGCTGAAATACTCGGGGAGTGGGCTGCAGTGCAGCAGACCCCCGCAGGGAGTGTGGAGGGATATCACGTAAAGCACTGCCTGCCCAGCAGAGATACTGTAGAATTATTTTTATTCTTACTGGCTTGGGGAAGAAGAGTCTCTTGGAAAAATGTGCAGGAGTGCGAAAGGTTTGGGAGATGTTTTTTTCTGTACTGTTGGTGACTGCTCCATTAGAAGGGCCGTGCTCTCATTTAAATCTGTATTCAGGGGCTTTTTAAAAAGAGGATTTCCACCTCCCCCATGAGGAATCCATGAGGATTTTAATCCCAGATTATTCTCACGTCCAGCACGTATGTTAAACCTACATGCTTAAAATCCTCTGAAATTTGTTTAAACAAAAACCATGGTCATTTGGAGCTGCTCCTCCGAACGAGGTGTTACTTGCTTTAGTATTTGGATGTCCCCCAAGATTCTCAAGCGCTGCTATCGGGAGGCAAATCTCATAACAGCTTCAGAGTTTGCCGATGGAGGAGAGATCACCAGGAGCTGGGGAGTTCCTGGATGGCGGGGCTGGGGTCACCCCCCCAGCACCCCTGGGGTTGGGGGAACGCTCCCTTTGCCTTCGGTGGGCATTGGGCCAGATCCAGCCCTCCTTCCTGTAGGGCAGAGCCGGCACACCGCTCTGTGAAAACAGCCTTTGTGGGAGAGGGTCTTTTTTTTTTTTTTTTTTTTCAGGTCAGAAATTAAAAACGCAACTCTTTCTCTCCCCCAGCCTGCCCTAGGAGAGGGTCTCCCTCTCTCTGCGGGGTTTTGGGTGCTTCAGGGAACCCGGGTGCCTTGCTCCTACCCTGTACCCCGAACTGTGGGTGGATGTAAACTGCAGACATCCCACGAGAGCCTCCCCCCGTCCTCGGCTCGGAGGGTTTCGGAGCCACGGCAGCGGAGGGCATCTGTGTTTTCTCTCGCGTCACGCTAGGCTGGTAGAGCGCCGCTCGTGAGTCGCAGGCATCTCGCCTTGATGTCAAACACCCTCCAAAGCCAAAACAAAACCCGTTCTCTTAACAATAGCCTCGCAGGAATCCCAGCCTCTCGCGTCAGCAGGGTTCTCCACGCACGCAGCAGCGGCAGCGAGCAGGGCGGACGGAGGAGTCCGTCCCCTCCAATACGTTGTGTCGGGGCAAGTGAAGAGAGTTGTGTGATGAAATCCTGGGAGAGGGGTGACAGCTCCGGGTGTCCTGAGGGTGGTCAGGCTCGGACCTTTTCCCAGCCCTCCTGGCTGCTGCAGGGATGCTGCTGGGGCAGCGCACGTTGCGCTGGGCTCCGGCCCTCGTGCCCCACACCTCGTTTTCGGTGGGAGTGGGGCACTGCCAGCCCAGATCACGCCGTTTCTGGAGGTGACAGCCCCTGTGGTTGCGTTCCTGGGGGCGCGGTGCCTGCTGCTCTGCTTTCCTCTGCACCCACAAAGCAGGGAAGCAATTTGCTGCCCGCTCGGCCCCGCTGCCCGAGGCGGGTGGTGGAGAAGGGCTGCGAGCCCTCACGCTTCTGTCTCCTTGCGGCCCCTCCTGCTGCTGAGCCGTTCCCGGTGTTTTCTCTCCTAGGACTTGGACGTGGTGGGCGATGGCATGCAGTGTCCTCCGTCCCCTCTGCTCTTTGATCCCTCCGTGGCCCTCGATCAGTCCCTCAGAGACGTTGCCGAGGCCCCCATAGACATATTGGCCCTGGAGGAGCCTTCCCACCCAGGCCTCCCTCCGCAGACGGCGCCGACGGACAGAGGCAGCTCCTCTGCCCACCTCTTCTCCCCGGCTGCCGAGTCTCCAGCCGAGCTGCCTGCGCAGGTACAGCCCTCGCCCCAGGGCGGGGGGAGAAGTCCCCATTCCCCCCGCCTCCTGCCCCACAGCCGGGCCCTGGGGGAGTTGCTCTCCCACGCAGCAGAGTCCAGACCCACGCTACACCCACGGTCTGGGTGATGGTGGGAGCATTGAGGGGGTGGGAGCGTTGAGGGGGTGGCAGCCGGAGCCTGTCCCCAGGGGAGCGGCGGAGGACGGGCGGTCGCTTCTCCGTGGGTGGCTCGGTGCCACCCTCTTCCTGTGCGTGGGACGGGCGTCGCGGGAGCTGTCTGGGACGCGGTGGGGATGTCTCGCAGGCCGGCGGCTACCCGCTGGGGAAAGCCCATTTTCTCCCATCTGGGGATTTTAAGAGGAGCTGTCATCTTCTGGGCAAAATAGGGCTTCTGCTTTCTCTTCCTTTGGAGTGTCATTTTTCACTTGCGTCTTGCTCCTCTTGGGTCCCACCCAGATCCTGTGGCTCGCTCAGGACGTGCCCACAGGGTGTCATCTTTGGACATGTCCTCGGCTGCCCCGTCCTTCATCCCCTGCCACCCCTCCAACGCTGTCCCTGCAGTGCCTCTTCCCCAAAGTGTTCGGGGGGTGGGGTGGGGAACCCCAACCCTGGAGCACGCCCCTCCTCCCCAGGCCCTCACTGAAGCCCACCGGTTTGCTGTAGCCGTTGGTTTCAAACAGGAGCCCAGAGGAAACGTCTCCCGGTCTGTCGGCGCTCCCGTCCCTGTGGGACGACCGATTCGTGTGGGAGCGACACCGGCCTGGGCTTGCCCCTCGCCTCCGCCGGGGCGCGTCCCCTTGCAGCCTTCCCACTCTGCCTTTTCTGTCCCCAACAGAGTCACTTGCCGCTGGCAGTGTGCCGCCTGGGGTCCAGGGACGACAGGCGCCCGGAGGAAGCTGCTTCCTCCCCCCAGGCCCGGGGAGCAGCCGCCAACGGGAGCCTGGAGCCGGGTTCCGTGGGCTGAGCCCGGCGGGATGCAGCGTCTCTACGAGCCGAATCGTGGCCGAGCCGGGCGCTGGGAAGACGTGTGGCAAGCTCCAGCTCCTCTGCCCGCTGGGATTCCTGGAGCAGTGGCGGGGCGGCTGGGGCCCCCCAACCCTCCTGCCCTCACTGCAGGACCCCGCTGGCCCGGGGAGAAGCCCCAGGGGGGCTCAGGGATAGGACGGGGTGGCTCCCCACGCTCCCCGGGGTTGGTGGGGGGGTCCTTGGGGGAGGGGTCTGGGCCTCATGTGCTGCTGGGGAGCCCTGAGATGTGACGAGGTCACCCCCACAATAAAGTGATGGAGGTGGGTGCCAAGTGTCCCCGTGTCCTGCTGCGAGGGTGGGCTGGGGAGGGTGGTGCTGGAAGAGCTGAAGGATGGAGCAGTGGGTGCTGCTGGGGTGGGGGGGGCTCGGGGCTCCCCTAGGGTGATGAACCCCCTTCCCGGCGGGGGGGGGTCACCCCTCTGCTGCAGCGGGGTGGGGGGGCGGGGGGGAGCTCCCTTATTTTGATCCTGGAGCTGGGTGGCTCCGGGGAAGGGGGAGTCCGGGCCGGTCCCGGTGGCTTGGTGCTGTATCCCGGGGGGGGGGGGGCTCCGGGGATCGCGGGGGTGGAGGGATGTACCGGGGAGGGAGAGGCGGGGTGTTGGGGGGGTGGTGGGGGGGAAATGCGGCGAGCCTGGCCCCGAGGAAGGGATGCGGCGGCGGCAGCACCGGGACACCCCGGGACCCCCCCCCGCCGCCCCCGGGCGCGGATTGGCGGCGGCGGGGGCGCAGGGCGGAGCCGGCCCGGTGGAGCCATGACATCACCGCCGCCGCCGCCGGGCCGGTCCCGGTCCCGGTCCCCGCCATGCCGCCGCCGACCCGCCGTAGTTCCCGGTGAGTCCCGGCCGCTCCGCGGCGGGAGGGCGAGCGGGGGGCGGCGGTTCCCCGGGGAACTCGGGCCGCGGTTCGGGGGCACCCGTGGAGCGGGAGCTGGGGAAGGGGGGGGGGGGGGGGGGGGGAGGCGTTCCGCTGCTACCGGGCACCGGAACGTGTCGCGGGGACGGGGCGGGGACACCCCCACCGGGGGTGCCCCGGGGGAAGCGGCGCGGGGAGTCCCAGCCGGTGTGTGTGTGTCCCCAGTCCATCCCCAGCGCATGTCCCTGCTGTCCCCGGGCCGTTGTCCCCAGAACATCCCATGTGCCCCCCAGCACATCCCGCCTGTCCCCTGTGTCCCCCCACCGTCACCTGGTACCTCCAGCCTTTCTCCCCCGCTGTGTCCTGGCTGTCCCTGCTGTGTCCCCAGTGTCCCCAGTGCATCCTGGCTGTCCCTGCTGTGTCCCCAGTGACCCCAGAGCATCCTGGCTGTCCCTGCTGTGTCCCCCACTGTCCTCCATCCCACCCGTTGGTCCCCACTGTCCCCAGTACACCCCAGCTGTCCCCTGTGTGTCCCTGCTGTCCCCACTGCATCCTGGCTGTCCCCAGTGTCCCCAATGCATCCTGGCTGTCCCTGGTGACTCCCAACTGTCCTCGTTGTGTCCCTGCTACCCCAAGGCTGTTTCTCCAGCACATCCCTCTTGTCCCCGGTGTATCCCGGCTGTCCCCAGGGTGTCCTCGCTGTCCCCAGTGCATCCTCACTGTCCCTGGGCTGTCCCCAGTGAGTCCTGGTTTCTCCCAGAGCAGCCCAGTGGGGTTGGGGACTCTCAGGGCTGTCACCCCATGTCCCCAGGCTCACGGTGGGGACCGTGGCGTGGGGCAGGCCACGGCCAGCCTGTCACGGCTGTGCCGCAGGACCGTGGCCGCGGGTGCAGGGGACCGTTCCCCGCCGTGCTGGCATGTCCACAGCCGCGTGGTGTGGGCACGTGCCGTGTCCCCGCAGTGCCTGGGGTGGGGAGTGACCGGGGTGGGGGGGCGGGACACGACACACACCGGGGAGGGGGGGGACACTGGCTCTGGGTGTCTCCAGCTCTGCTGGAGCCGTGTCCCCCTCCCCACTGGGACCCTCATGCTGCCCCCCGCGGGGCCCCGTGCTGGGGGAGGGGATGACCACGCCATCCATCTGTCGGGGGCCCCCCCGGCTGTTCCCCCGCCGGTGGGGCCTGGGGGGGCCGCGGGCTGTTCTTCCCCTCCAGACAGAGCCTCACTTCCCCCCGTGACGCAGCCGGAGCCGCCGGCCCCGGGGCCGCTTCCTGCGCCGGGGGCAGCATGAGGGGGGCCCACGGGCCCCACGGGCCCCCCCGGGGACCTGCCTGGGTTTGCAGAGGAGATGGGGACAGGGACAGCACATGCGAGCTCTGGCAGTGTGTGCCGGCGAAGGGTGCACGTTGTGAGCGTGGGGCCAGTGGGGTCCCGCAGCCCACGGCGGTGGGGACGGCCGGCTCAGGGCTTGTGGGGGTCACAGGGAGCGTGTGGCAGCCGCCCCCCCCCCCCCTTGTTCTAGCTCCACTGTGCTGAGCAGGGCCGTAAACCCCAGTGCTTGTTATTTTTGCCACTCGTGTTGGGTGGGAGAAAGTGGCAGAATTTACTCTGAGGCCATCCGGTGGCCCCCAGTGCTCCCACCCATGGTGCAGCCCCCCCCGTGGGGTCCCCAGTGGGGGACAGGGCTGTCACAAGTGCTGCGTGTACCCCAACTTTGTCTGCTTCCTCCCAGCCTTGCCACCCCTGTCACCCCTTGTCCCCTCCTGATCCCCCCCGTGCTGCCAAACGCCCCGGGGGGGAGGTGTCCAAGTGAGCAGGGGGCCATGTGGCCCCGTGTGAACCCCAATTCCTGTGTGGCTCGTGGGGTGCAGGGTGGAGGCCACGGCCTGGGGCCACGCCACTGCTCCCCGCCTGGAGCCCCGGGGGTCTCCCTGAAGGGTGCCCGGGCTCCTGGGGATCCTTCTCCAAAGGGTGCTGGGTGCCCCGGAGGGGTCCCTCTCCTTGGGGTGCCCTGTACCCCGTGGGGTGCCCGGTGCCACATGGGGATGCCCGATGTCCCGCTGCCGCCTCTCCGGGGGGTCCCCGGTGCTCCCCGGTGCTCCATGCCCGGGGCTGGCGGAGCCGCGCACCGGGGGCGGCGGCGGCCCCGGCTCCTCCCCGGTCGCGGCGGGAAGGCGGAGCCGGGCCGCCGCCGCCTCCCAACAATAGCGCGGCCGGGCCGGGCCGGGATGGAGCCGCCGTTGCCGCCGGGACCGGTCCTGGGGCAGCGCTGAACGGGGCCGGGCGGCGCCGCCGGGACCCCCGGGAGTGAGTGCGCGGCGGGGCGGCCAGGGCGGGGGGTTGGGGTTGGGCCCGGACCGGTGCTCGGGGCCGATGCTCGGGGCCGGCCCCGGTTCTGGCGCGCGCGGGGCTGAGCGGCGCGGGGAGGCACCGGGACCGGCGGCGGGGGGGAGCCCCCGGGGGGAAGCGGGGTGTGCGGCACCGCTTCTGAGGGGGGGCCCGTCTGCACCCCGGGGATCTTGTGCACCGGGTGCTTCGCGTTCCGGTGCCAGCCTCCGGTGGGTGTTGTGCATCCCGGTGCCCCCCGGGACCGGGGCCGGTGCTGGGATCCCCGCACGCCCCGGGAAGGGACAGGGGTGCCTGGGCTGCGGGAGGGGGTCCCTGCGGCTCCGGGTGCCGGCGCTGGTGGGGTCAGGGCTCGGCCCTGGGGGTCCCCCGAGGCTCCGTCCCCCTCCTCAGTCCCTCTCTCCCTTGCAGGTGACACTGCAGAGGGGGCTGGGGACATCCTGAGCGAGGTAAGGGGGGGCCCGGGCTTGCCCAGGGCCTGCCAGTGCCGGGGGGGGGGCAGTGGCCAGTGGGTACCCCGGCCTGACGCCTTGTCCCCTGCAGCCAGCGATGTCGGAGAGCGTGGCCGAGGCACCGGGAGACGGGAGCCCCGCGGCACTCGGGGAGACGGGCACCAGCCATGAGCTGCTGCAGCGGCTGCGGGAGCTGGAGGTACGGCAGGGGCCGGGGCCACCCAGAGCCGGGACCACCGGGCAGCCGTGGCGGGTGCCATGGGGCAACCAAGGCCACCAGAAACCAGGGCTACTGGGGCAGCCGTGGCCTTTGCCTTCGGGCAGCTGTTGCTGGTACCACGGGGCAACCATGGCCACTGTACATTGGTGGCTAGTGCCACCAGGCAGCTGTGGCCATTGCCTTTGGGCAGCCGTGGTCGGTGCCACAGGGAAACCATGGCCACCAGAAACTAGGGCTACCAGGGCAGCCGTGGCCGTTGCCTTCGGGTAGCTGTGGCTGGTGCCACGGGGCAACCATGGCCACTGCTGCTGTGCAGCCATGGCCACCATGCATCTGTGGCTGGTGTCATCAGGCAGCCGTGGCCGTTGCCTTTGGGCGGCCGTGGCCGGTGCCACCGTGCGGCCAGTTCTAAGAGGCAGCTGTGGCTGGTGCCCTGGAGCCAGCAGCCCAGATGCCATGGTGAGGGTCAGCACTTTCCAGCTTTCGGTGGCCTGGGGCAGCCTCATCCCTCTGTGCGTGGCCCTGGATCCAGCCAGGCAGAGGAGGGGTCCCCTTGGTGCCATGAGGGGGGTCCAGGCACTGGGGCACCTCCACCACATCCCCTGAGCTGTCCCCGCTCTGTCCCCAGGCAGAAAACTCGGCCCTGGCCCAGGCCAACGAGAACCAGCGGGAGACATACGAACGCTGCCTGGACGAGGTACCAGGAGGGGGACACGTGGGCACGTGGGACACACGTGTACACACGTGTGTGCTGGGGCCACGGGGCCGTGCATGCCCTTGCACCCCACCCAGGCCCCCCACATTCTGCTCCCCAGGTCGCCAACCACGTGGTGCAGGCGCTGCTCAACCAGAAGGTGGGTGTCAGGGGGGGCTGTGGGAGGTGGCAGAGGGTGTGGGGGGGTGTCTTGGCTGATGTGTGTCCCCCCACTCTTCCTGCCCCGGGCAGGACCTGCGCGAGGAGTGTATCAAGCTGAAGAAACGGGTTTTCGACCTGGAGCGTCAGAACCAGGCGCTGAGTGACCTCTTCCAGCAGAAGCTGCAGCTCTCGACCGGGTCCCTGCCCCAGGTGTGGCTGGTGCTGGGGAGGGGGGGGGTCACAGGGCAGAACATCCCCGCCCCTCCATCCCAAACCTTAACCCGGTGTCTGCCTCCTCTCCAGCTGTCACTGCACCCGGTGCCGGTGCCCCCGGACGCCCCGGTGAGCCCCCAGCCAGGCTCTGCCGAGCAGCCACCCCCCCCGCCACCCCCCAGCCGCTGCCTCCCCCTGCCAGAGGTGGGTACCCACCCTCCCCTCCCCACCTGGTCCAGTGTCCCCCTCCCAGGGCTGTGGCATCCCCCTCCCCAAGCTCCTGCTGTTGCCTTTTCCAAACCTGTGCTCTCCCCGCTCCCGGGGTCCCCCTCTTCCCCCTTTGTGTCCTGTCCTCTGTCCCCCTCCCTGGCTCCACACTGTCCCCAACCCTGAGCTGGAGGCATCACCCTTTCCAATCCCCTCTGTCCCCAGTGTCCCTGTCCCCTGCGGTGTCCATGGCATTGCCCTTTCTGAGCCCCCCCAACCCGTGACAACCCTGTCTCCAAACCCCTTTTTCCCCTGGTGCCCCCGTCCCCAACCCCATGTGTGTTCCTCCCAAGCCTCACTGTGTCCCTCTCCCCATCTCTCTCCACCCCTGGTGTCCCCCAGCGTATCCCCTCTCCCAGTCCCAGCACACTGCCATGGGGCTCAGCGCTGGCTGCTTGTGGGGTGACGGTACCCGAACCCCATAGGTGACCCCATCGGTGCCATCGGGCAGCCCTGGGCTCAGCCCCGGTGCCCCCCCCCTGGACGCCCTCTCCCCCTTCTTCAAGAAGAAAGCCCAGATCCTGGAGGTGCTGCGCAAGCTGGAGGAGACGGACCCGCTGCTGGGGCCCCCACCGGCCTCCCCCGGATCCCCCGAGCCCTGTGGGGCCCTGGGCTGGCCTCCCTGCCCGTTGCGGGGGCCGGGGGCTGCGGGGGGGTGGCGGGGGGCCGAGGGCAGCCCCTGCTCCTCACCGGAGGAGGCTGCACCCCCGCGGGGGGCCCTGCTCAGCGCCTTGGCCGAGCGGCTGCTGCGGGGTGAGGGGGGGTGCTGCCGGCGCAACGGTGAAGCCCCCGGGGGACCCCCCCGGCAGCGGCGCAGCGAGCACCCCGCTTTTTTAGGGCTCTATGCCCCGGGTGAGGAGAGCCCCTGAGGGGGGCTTTGCCCCGCTTTCACCCGGGGGGGGCCCTAACCCCCTGCCGTCCCCCCCCAAGGTGCTCAAGCTGCCGGCCCCCCCCGGGGCACTGCGCCTCAGCCCCCAGCTCGCCCGTGCCTCCAAGATCCCCTGCCGCGGCGGGCAACCCCGAGGCCTCGCCAGCGTTCAGCCGCCGTGCCTCCCCCGACGCCCCCCCGGAGCCTGGCTCCCCCGAGCCCCCCGCATTCCCCCCACCCCGCACCTACGAGGCGGCCGAGCAGCCCCCCGGGCCGCCGGGACCCCCCAACAGTGGGGAGCGGGCGGCCGCCTCCCCCCCCAGCACCCGACGTGGCACGGGGGGCTCGGCCCCCTCCCGCCGCCCTGGCAAGAAGCCCCCTGAGCCGGGCTACTTGCCCTTCAAGGAGCGACTGGCCGCCCTGGGCAAGCTGCGGGGGGCCGAGGGCCGCGAGCCCCCTGGCCCGGGGCGGCCCGAGACGCGACCCCCTCCCCGGGGGGGGTTGGGGGGCAGCTTGAAGCACCCTGAGCCGGCGCACGGCGGGGAGCCCCTTGCCCGGTGCTACTCCTCTGGCTCCATGGGCGAGCCCGGCAAGGCGGGGGGCAAGGGGCGCCCCATCGGCGGCAGGACCCCACTGCGGGCCCCCCCGGCACCCCCCGCCAAGGCCGCCCGTAGCCCCCACGGCAGCCCCACCAAACTGCCCACCAAGGCGGGCGCCGGCAAAGCCGGGACGCCGCGAAGTGAGGAGCCGGCGGCGCCCAAGGTGCCGGGGGTCCCCCACAAAACGCCACCGGCCCCCGAGCCCCCCGGCACGGGGCCGCCACCAGGCGCTGCCGGGCACTCAGCCATCGAGGAGAAGGTGATGAAGGGCATCGAGGAGAACGTGCTGCGGCTGCAGGGGCAGGAGCGGGCACCGGCGGGAGAAGCCAAGGCCAAGGCTACCGGCGGTTTGGCCAGCTGGTTCGGGCTGCGGCGCAGCAAGTTGCCGGCGCTGAGCCGGCGCGGTGAGGGCGGCCGCGGGCGGGAGTGGGCCGGGACGCCGGCTCCCCTCCGCCGGGAGGTCAAGCTGGCTGCCCGTAAGCTGGAAGCCGAAAGCCTCAACATCTCGAAGCTGATGGAGAAGGCGGAGGATCTGCGCAAGGCGCTGCGGGAGGAGCACGCCTTTCTGCAAGGGCTGGCGCTGGAAAAGGGGCGCCCGCGGGGACCCCCCCGCGGCCCCGGCCACCTCCCGGTGATGTACCAGGAGGTGACGGCCGAGACCTTCATGCAGCAGCTGCTTGACAGGTCAGTGCCCAGCTGGGTGCACTTTTTGGGGAGGTTGGGGGGTGTGTGTGTGTGTCCCCCAGCGCCCCGTGACACAGCGCGGTCCCCAGGGTGGACGGGAAGGACGTGCCCTACGAGAGCCGCCTGGAGCACAAGCGGGACCTGGGTGACCTCCGGCGGGTCCCTCCCGACGCCAAAGACCCCCGGCTCTGCCGCCCGCCCCGCAACGGCATCGTGGGGCACCTGCGGGACCCCCCTGACAAGGTGAGGACCCTCCCCACCAGCCCCAGGCCTCGGTCCAGGGTGAACCCCCCCCCTCCCCTCATTCTCTGCCCCCCAACTCAGGTGCCTGACGTGGGGCTCCGGGATGAGCTGCCGTCGGATGAGAGTTTGTCCGAGTCGGGGACGTCACAGCACTTCGCCGGTGAGGGGATCGCGGAGGGGGAAATATGTCAGGGAGGAGCAAAAATACAGCAGAGAGGGGGGAAGTACGTAGGGGAGGGGGAAATACGTCAGGAAGGGGGGTAAAATACAGCAGAGAGTGGGGAAATATGATGGGGAGGGGGGAAATACGTCATGGAGGGGGGTAAAATACAGCAGAGAGGGGGGAAATATGGCAGGGAGGGATTTAAAATACAGCAGAGAGTGGGGAAATGTGGGGAGGGGGGGGAATATGTTGGGTAGGGGGGTAAAATACAGCAGAGAGGGGGAAAATACGGTGGGGAGGGGGTAAATACATCAGGGAGGGGGGTAAAATACAGCAGAGAGGGGGGAAATATGGCAGGGAGGGGGGAAATATGTCGGGGAGGGGGGCACCAGGGCAGCCCCCCCAACACTGACACTTCCCCTTGTGCCGCCAGCCTGCGGGTCGCTGACGCGGACGCTGGACAGTGGGATCGGGACCTTCCCACCCCCCGACTACGGGGGGGTCCCTGCCAAGAGCACCCCCAAACCCCGGGGCCGCCCTGAGCCGCCGCCCGGCGCCGCATCGGCGCGGCCGCCCGGTATCACCAAAGTGCCGCGCAAGGCCCGGACGTTGGAGCGGGAGGTGCCCAGCGCGGAGGAGCTGCTGGTGGCCGGCAAACACCGGAGCAGCCCGGCGTGCCGCCCCCCGGCCCCCCCCGGTCCCCAAGGTCGGTGTCCTGGGGTTGGGGGGCGCGGGGGGGGCACGCAAAGCCTCACCGGTGGCACTGGGTGTGCACCCGCGCTCCTGCACGGTGCAATCGGGGTCACCCCAACCCCCCCCTTCCCCCCCAGCAGGGAGGTGGGGGGTCGTGGGGGGGGGGTCCTGCAGGCCAGCACTGACACCCCCAACCCCCATTTTCCCCACAGCCACCAGTGATGATGCTGGGAAGCCGCGGCGCGTCCAGCAGAGCAAGAACTGGACCTTCCCCAACGCCAAAGCCTGTGGCACCGCCGACCCCTTCCTCTGCCCCCCCGGGGGGCTGGAGGGGCTGCACCGCCCCGCACTGGTAAGGGGGGGTGGTGGTGAGAGGGGGGGCGGAGGGGGGGGCGCTGCAAAACCGCCCCACCAACCCTGGGGTATAATTAGAGCTGGTGGGGAGTGGGAGTGTGGGGGGGGTCCTCCCTCCCCTCTTCACCGTGCTGTCCCTCCCCAGGCACCCGTGTGCAGCCCGGGGGGGATTCGGGGGGCGTCCCCGGAGGCCCCCCCACCGCTGCCCCCCGCCCTGAGCACCAGCAGCAGCCGTACACCCAGCGCCTCAGACGTGGGGGATGAAGGCAGCACGGACGCCCGGTCCCGGGACGGGGGGCACGGCCCCCCAGGACTGGAGCACTCCGAATCGCTCAGCGACTCGCTCTACGACAGCCTCTCCTCCTGCGGCAGCCAGGGCTGAGCCCCCCCCCCCCCCACCGCCCCCCAAACCCTCACCCCTCCGGGGCCGCACTCGCACGTCTTCCGCGCCCCCACCCCGCTGCCCCCCCCTCGCTCCCAGTCTGGGGGTGCTTGCCCAAGGTGTGTGTGGGGGGGTCCTGGTGCCCCGTCCCTCCCCCCCCCGTCTCTCTCCAATGGTGCTATCGCAGTGTACAGCCCCCACCGCCGGGTTTTTAAACTCAATAAAGCCGCCCTCCCCCGGTTTATTTATATATGTTATTGTGCAGTCGTCTCTGCCTCGGCCGCATCCTGCCCGCGGGGCGGAGGGAGGGGGCTGAGAAATTCAAGTTTGAGCGTTTTATTGACTCGTCCTGGTGTACAAAGAGAAGCGACAGCGGGATGGGGAGAGCTCGGAATCCAAAGACGTGGTCCCTGCGGCCGCGCCGGACAGCTTGCCCAGCGGACCCGTTTGTTTGTTTCTTTTTTTTTTTTTTTTTTTTTTCCCCCCAGTTTCTTGGCACTGGTGCTAAAGGAGAGGCTCCTCTGCTGAGTTTGGCTTCAGGGGGGTCCTGTCACCCACCCTGGGGGCCCCATGGCTGCCTGGGTGGGGGGGTAACACCCTGGCTGTGAGGGGAGAGGGGATGTGTTGCCCGTGGGGCCGGGGAGAAACCTCTAGAGAAAGCTCCTGTGTCGGTGATAATCCCGAGGGACGCGGGATCTAGGGGGTGGGGGGTGGGAGGGGAGGGAGCCGGGCTGAGGGGAGCCAAATTCCAGCAGGATCTGCAAATTGGCTGGTTTCTAATCAAAGAAAAGCTAAACGAGATAAAAACCCACAAGGTGCAAAAGCTTCCGGGCTGCTTTTCATCGGCAGCAAAGCGCAACCCCTTTAATGAATCTGAGAAGGGACGGGGAAGGGGGGGCGGGGGGGACAGGGACTGGATGGGGACAGCTCCACCTGGGCCTGGAGCCGCTTCATTTCTTCTCCTTCTTCTTCTTCTGCAAGAGGAGACGTGGCTGGTCACTGCCGGGTCAGTGGTCCCTGTCCCCACCCCCCTCCCCAAACGGCAGGTTTGTGTCCGTTGTCCGTCCCACCTCCCCCCCCGCCATGCCCAGGGGACTGTCACCCACCTCGGTCATGCCCAGGATCATGAGGAGCTCCCGGAAAATGTCAACAAAGTCGAGGAAGAGATCGACGCAGTGCCTGGGGGGACAGAGGGACATGCTCAGGGGGGACTCGTCCCACCCCGTGTCCCACCCCCCTCATCCCAAACCCCGTCCCCAGCGCCCACCAGATGTAATCCTTGTCCCCGCTCTCCGCCTTCTCGATGATGAGCTGCGTGTCGAAGAGCACGAAGCCGCACATGATCATCAGCCCCAGGTAGAGGTTGGCCTGCGGAGGGGAGGGAGGGGTGGGGGGAGAGGGGACGTTAGATGGGGACAGTCTGATGTCCGTCTGTCCGTCCTCCGTGGGATCCCGGCAGACAAGGAAGGGCCTCACCGTGAAGAGCCAAGCGGATCCCACGAAGGCGTTAACCACGGAGGAGAGAAGCATCAGGGTGAGGCCGGAGAGCAGGAAACCTGTGGGGAAAGGATGGGGGGGGGTGAGGCCTGGCCATGGCCCCCCCATGGGTGCCCCCTGCCCCGTGCAGGGAGCCCCCCAAGGGACCCTCTTACCTCCCAGGTAGAGGAAGCTGCGGCGCCGGGCGTACAGGGCGCTCAGCGAGAAGCAGGCGAAGATGGTGGCGGTGCCCAGGAGGGCAGTGGGGATGATGCTAGGGGAGAGGAGAGGGGGTGAACGGGGAGGGGGGAAGAACTCGGGGGGGTGATGACGGGGGGAAACGCTCCTACCTGGGGTTGATGGAGATGCACATTTCCAGGAGAGGCCCCAGATTGATGCCTGGAAGGACAGCAGGGTGTCACCGGAGTAATTTTGGAGCCAGTCAGGGTCCTTCTCACCCCTGGCTCCCCAGGGCTCAGGGTCCTGCAGGATTTGGGGAGCAGGGAGTCCCCAGCGCCCACCTACCCGTCAGGAAGGCGAAGCCCACCAGCATCCCCAGCCTCTTCTGCTCTGTCTCCCGGCTGTGCGGGGTGGCTGTCAGCCAGATCATCAGCCCCAGGGCGCCCAGGCCGGTCAGGAGGCTGAACTGTGGGGTGAGAGGCAGGTGAGGGAGGGCCCCGCATCGCCTCAGCACCGTTGGGGGGGTGTGTGCGAGCACTGGGGGTCACCTGTGACACCCTAAAAGCCCCTCACCTGGAAAAGGTGGGTCACCACGTTGATATAGGCCCCCGCGGCCGCCACGAACATGCAGAGAGCAAAGCTGGCATAGACCCTCTTCAGGTGCTCCTGGGTGGAGGCCGAGCTGCAGGGGAGGGGGAGTGGGCAGTGAGGCCAGTGCAGCCCCCCACCCATGAGCCCCCCAACTCAAGCTGGGCCTGCCCGAGGCGTTACTCACATGTGGGAGAACTTGAAGAGGGCGTCAAAGTTGATGTTTCGGTCGAAGACGTTCATGGTGCCCCGGTTGGGAGTGGGCCCGCCGGCCGCTTCGCAGAGGTGCAAGCTGCAAAGAGGGGAGGTGGGTTTGTGGAGGGACACCCCCCCCCCCCCCTCACCTTCCTGAAGCTCTGGAGCCAGCAGCAGGAGCTGCTCGGGATCGGCCAGGCTCCTCACCCAGCTGGTGCAAGTGTTGCGGGCTGTTGCGAGACCGGGAGCTGCCCCCAGGGAGGCCCCGACCCCGCGGGAGCGCTGCCGGCAGCTGGAAAGCGTCTTTGTGCCAGGCTACTATTAGTGCCCGTAATGACGTCCCCAGAGGAGGCTGTGGCAGCGCGAGGCTCCCCACAGGGCCTCTTCCTCCTCCTCCTCCTCCTCACCAGCCTCTGGTCCAGCCGGCTCAGCCGGTGCGGTTTGCCCCGGCACTTACAGGAACCCAACCAGCCCCACCAGTGCCTGTCCCCAAGGGGCGGAGGGGACCCAACCGGCTGGGGCAGGCAGGGCCGTGGGGCTGGCAACCAGCCACCCCGGCAGAGGGAAGGGCCTGGGGTCTCCTGCCACGCTGGCCCCCTGCACCCAGTGCCCTTGGGGCTGCACTGGTTTTACCCCAGCGCTGGGACTCGGAGGGTTCAGCTGTCACCAGGCTGGTGCCACCACGCCAGGGCCGGTCCTTGTGGGTCGCGGGCTGGCGGATGGGCCCGGCCGCCCTTCCCCTGCCACGGGTGACGGGGACATGGGCCAAAGCCGTTTCGGTTTCGCTGGCGCCGTCCCCGCTCGACAGTCCGAGGGCGGCGGCTGCTGTCGTCAATGGGTAACCGGGACCGGCGCTGCCGGGCGACCTTTACCCGCCAGCCTCGGGCCCGTCACCAACCGCCCGCTTCGGGGGGGGCCCCCCCGGAACCAAACGGAGCCCCGCGTGTGTGTGTGTGTGTGTGTGTGTGTCCCGCCACCGGCAGTGAGGGCGGGGGGGGGGGGGGCTGCCCAGGCCGGGCCCGGCGGGGGAGGGGGTGAGACCTGGGGGGGGGCGGGAGCGGGGCGGGGGGGGGGGGAGCCCGGCCCCGCAGCCGCCGTGAGTGCCCCGGGGAGTGGCGGAGAGCGCTGGGGCCGGGCCGGGCCCAACTGGGCTGCCCCCGCCGCCGGTGCCGCCGCCGCCACCGCCCCTCACCTGCGCCGCGCTCCGCCGTCCGTGCCAGGCCTCGAACGGTGCCCCGCTTCGCCCCGCCCCCGGCGCTCATTGGCCGGCGAGCGGCGGGGAACCGCCTTCCTCCTCGGCCTATTGGCCCGCCGCCACCACGCGGGGCGTCACCGTCGTCACTGCCCATTGGCGGCCGGCCGCGCCCGAGCGCCACCGTTGGCCAGGCGACACCCCCCCTCCTCCCCCGCCCCCGCGAGGGAACGCGACGCTTATTGGCTCCTGCTGGCCGCGACCGGGCCAATCGGAGCCTGCCGTTCGCTCCCCTTGGCCCTTGGGCGCCCCCTGGCGGTTCCGCCACTCGCCCGCCCTCGGGCGCCCCCTGGCGGCTCCGCCGGGGGGCCGGTGGGGCGGGGCGGGGCGGGGCGGGGCCCGGGAGGCGGTGGCGGCGCCGGGACGCGACGGGCTGAGCCTCCCCCGCCGCCCCCCGGTGCCTGGGCCGGGGATGGGGAACGTGGAGAGCGCGGACGGGGAGGCGCTGCCCCGGGGCCCGGGAACAGCGGCGGTCCCGGGGGGACCGGGGCTGCTCGCCCCGGGTAAGATGCCGATGCCGGAGCCCTGCGAGTTGGAGGAGCGTTTCGCCCTGGTGCTGGTGAGTGACCGACCCCCCGCTGCGTCCCCGGCCGCCCGCTGCTCCCCCGCCCGCCTCCCGCCGCTCCCCTCCGGTTCCCGGGCCGCTCTCCCGGGGCGCTTCCCCCGGGCTCTCGTCTCTTCTCCTGCTGCGTCTCCTCCGGGTCCCGCTGCGCCGTCCCGGTCCCCCCTTACCCGGGACCCCTTCCGGGCCGGACGCGCCCCGCCGCCGCGCTCCCCTCCCGGTGTCCGGCTGTGGACGGGTGGGCGGGTGGGCGGGCGGACACCGCGGACGGTACCGGCGCCCGGAGGGACCGGGGGCGGGCTGGGAGCGCCCGTGCCCGCGGGGATGGGCAGTGGCCGCGGGGGAATCCTGTCCCGGGGCAGCCCCGTGGTGGGGGGTGACGCCACTCCCGGTGCCACCGGAGGGGGAGGCGGGGGAGGTTTCTTTGGCCCCGGGACTTTTTGAGCCGGGAAAGTCCCATCGAGGTGGCGCAAGCGGTCTCCGTGGGTGCGGAGATTCCCGTGGGTGGGGGGGGTCAGCGTGGGCGCGGTGTCCCCACGGTGCCCTGCACTGTCCCCGGTCCACTGTCACAGCCGGGGCGGTACCGGGACGTGGCTCGGCGGTGACCCCATCCCCACGCTGTGACCCCGATGATGCCCGGGGGTGGGCCACCGTGTCCCACCGCGGGCTGGCCCGGTGGCCCACTCACTTTTTTGGGGACATGCACACACACACAACACCGGCCAGGACCCCGTGACCGGGTGACACCCAGGCCACACGGCCCCCGCTACACGGTACCACCATCCCGGTGGTGGCCGTAGCCGGCGGAAACCGCGTCCGGGCAGGAAATGCCAAACGTGGTCCCACGGGGCTCTGGGAGCTGGAACTGGGGGGTACTGGGGGGGAACCGGCACCCCCAGTGGGTGACCGTCCCACTGGTAGCGGGGGGCACCCGCCCGCGGGGCCGTTGCCCGTCCCCGCAGCCCACGCGGGGCGGATGCGGCAGCCGGTCCCCGCGGGGCCGGTGGCGGGGGGGATGCATCCTGCTGGGTGACGCCGATGCTCCGGGGAGGAGAGGGGGGGGGGAGGATTTTGGGGGTGGCAGCACTGGGGGGAACCCCCAAAATCCACACACACACACACACACACACCCCCCACACCCCCCCTCCGGCTTTCCCCAGCGTCGGCGTCTCCCGGTGCCCCTGTCCTGGCTACTCCTGGGGAGGAAAATATTTCATCATGTGATGGGGCCGCAGCCCCCGGGTGGGCCTGATCCGTCCCCTGGGGTGGGCTCCAGCCCTGGTAGCCCCCGGTCCCTGTGGGGGGCTGAGGCAGCTGAGGAAGATGGGGTGGGGGGGTGGGGGGTCCCCTCGGTTTAAGGGGGGGGCAGCGGTGGAGGAAGTGCCCGGCCGGGAGCGGCCCTGCTCCCGCCACAAAGGCAGGAAGCCGAGCGGCGGGAATGCCGGCGAGGGCGGCCACGCTTCAAAGCCCCCCCCTCCGGTGCCCCCCCCCCCCAGGGCCCCCGCCTCTCTGTGTCCCCACCCTCCATCCCCAGGGTTTCCCCAGGGCCCCCCCCCCCCATTGTGCCGTCGCTACATAAATACGCGCAGCCCCGTGGGGAGGGAGCCACCGTCCTTGTCCCCAGGGTAATTCTGGGGGGACCCCCATCCCGGCGGTGACATCCCGGATCCCATGGGCTTGGGTGTCCCCCCCGCTCCAGGGGTGCACGGCCTCGCCCAGGCTCTGTCCTGTTTTTTTTTTTTGTGGGGCCGGAATGACCAGGGGAGGGATAATTTTAGCTGCCACGGGGCGGGTGGAGCACCGGCACCTCCCGGTTGTGGCGGTGACCGGCTCCGGCTAACGGTGCTTGCTCGGGAGCCGCCTCACTGGGGTGGCATCACCCCGTCCCGGGGTGGCATCCCCCACCGGGGCATCCCCGGGTTCCACCCGTTTGTGGTCACGGTGACCGTGGGGCCGCATCCTGTGCCGGCGGGCCCCGGGCTTCGCCGTGCAGATGCCCGGTGTCCCATCGCGGCGGGCACCGCTGCCGGGCTTCGCGCCGTGGTTGCGGTTTGCCGGTGAGGAAGCGGGTGCAGACAGGAAGGACGCGTCGGCAGGCGCCGGGGAGATTTGGTGCTGCCGGTGGTTGGCGTGTGGTCTCAGTGGCACTGGTGTCCCCCCCCCACACCCCACCCCGTGTGGCCCTATGCTCACCAGTGCTTCCCAGTGCCAGGGATCCTGGCCTTGCTGTGGGGCTGGGTGCCTCTGGGGAGGACCTTGGCCGTGCCGTGGGGCTCGGTGCCCTTAGGGGGGGGCTCTGGCTGTGCTGCAGGGCTGGGTGCCCTCACAGGGTGGGGGGGGCGCAGTGTGCCCGTGTCCCCCCGGGAGGTGACACCCCTCCCTCTACCCCCAGAGCTCCATGAACCTGCCCCCGGACAAAGCCCGGCTCCTGCGCCAGTATGACAACGAGAAGAAGTGGGACCTCATCTGCGACCAGGTGGAGGGGCTGGGGGGGCCCGGGGGGGGGGGGGGGCGGGTGGGCTGTGCTGCTGTGACAGTGTCACCCACACCCCCTCCTCCATCCCCCCCCAGGAGCGATTCCAGGTGAAGAGCCCCCCCCACGCTTACATCCAGAAACTGCGCAGCTTCCTGGAGCCGGGGGTCACGCGGAAGGTGAGGGGCTGATGGGGGGGCCAGGGGGGGTTGTAGGGGGATCCAGGGAGGGGGGGGGGGGCACGGCTCAGCCTCGCTCTGCCCCCCCCAGAAGTTTAGGAGGAGGGTGCAGGAATCGACCAAGGTCCTGCGCGAGCTGGAGATCAGTCTGCGGACGAACCACATCGGGTGAGCGTCGGGTCCCGGGGAGGGGGGCAGGGGGGATGTGGGGTCCCAGGGCTGGCGGGGGGGCACAGGGTCCCAGGAGGGGTGCAGGGTCCCGGGCTCGGCCCTGCTGCAGCTGCAGGGGAAGTTGGAAGCGCTTCAGGAACTGGGCCGGTTCCTGCCCCGGCCGCGCCGCGGGCCAGGGCTGCCGGCGAGCAGGTCCCCGGGGCGGATGCGGCGGGCGGATGGGCCGGCGATGCCGCCCTGTGAAAAACGGCACGGCCAGATCCTGCCCAGCATCCCCCCCCCCCCCCGGCACCGGAGGGCTCAGCACCATCCCCGAGCCGGTGACACCCCCACCCCGCAGCGGCGGCTCATCCCTCCGGCGTAGACATGCCGGAGCTGTACGGGCTGGCCAGAGGGACGGGGAATTTAGTGGGGATGTTACTGGGGATGGTGGGGATGTCACCGATGGGTGCCCGGCTCCGCGCTCGTGCCCGCGTGCTCAGGGTGGCTGGGGCACGTGCCCCGTACCGGCCCCGCCACCGGCCCCGTTTGGCTTTTCCCCGCCTGCGGCCTGAAAATAGCAGCAGCCGGAGACAGGAAACGGGCTGGGGCGAGGGGCTGGCGCTGGCAGGAAAGGCCCCCCCCCTCCCCGCCCTGGGCCCCCCCCCCGCCTCCCCTGGCTCCCGCTCCTGCCTGACTCACCAGCCACGGGCAGGCGTGGGGACCCCGAGGCTGTGCAGGGGCCCCCCTGGGTGTGCAGCCCCGGGGAAGATGTGTATGTGTGTGTGTCCCCCCGTCCCACCCATGCACACAGTCTTCACTATACACACGCTCCCCTATGTGCAGACACACACCCCCCCCGTGCATGCTGCCCTGCAGCCCCTGCCCTCTGACAACCCCCCCCGCCCCACAGGCACCCCCTCCGTGTACCCCCATATCTTGTGCACGCTCCCTATACAACCCCCCCCACCCCGTGCACATCCCACGCACACACACACCACCTGCACCCACCCCGGCCCCCCTTGCACCCCCGCCAGGCTCTTCTACCCTACACGTGCACCCCATCACCCACCCAGGGGACTGGGGCACCCCTAACCCCCCCACCCCAGGGTACCCAGTGCTGGGGACAGGGGCACAACCCCAGCGCCCAGCTCAGCTTCCCGCCTTGCACCCGGGGCCGGGCCCTCCCTGCGCTGCAGCCGCCAGATAAAGCCGTGCTGCCACTGGCACCGGTGATAGCAGAGGGGCTGCAACCGCCGCCGGAGCCCCGGGACACCCCCTCCCTGCCCCCTCCCAATCCCTGCACCAGGCTGGGGGTCCCCAAGGTGTTGGGGATCATGCCGGGGGGGGGGGGGATCCCCAGCTCCTGCGGGCCCTGATGGGTGCCTGGTGCTGTAGGTGGGTGCGGGAGTTCCTCAACGATGAGAACAAGGGACTGGACGTGCTGGTGAACTACTTGTCATTCGCCCAGTGCGCCGTCATGTGAGTAGGGTGCTGAGGTCGGGGGGGGTGTCCCTGGGGTGCAGGGGGTCCCTGGGGTGCAGGGGGACTTGGGATGTGGAGGGTCGTGGTGCCTTGTGGCAGGACCCTGCTGCAGGTGGCCGATACAGCTCAGCCCCTTATCGGCACTGGGGCAGCCCGACCGGCACGTGGGGACCTGCCTGCTGTGGGGTCCCAAGGGATGTGGGATGCTCGACAC